CCATTTTTGACATTTTTTCTTCCGGAAAAGGACCATAAATAAATAAATAACCACTAATTTATGTTTTAAGAATTATTTGAATTATCTTGGAACTCCACAAAATCAGATAAAAAATTCTGAAATTATGGTTTAGACCTGCAATTGTGATCGCGCCAAACTTTTTTTCTGTAGATCAAAAATTAATTTGCAGTTTGGAAATGTTCTGTGGGAGAGCGTGCAGGAGTTTAAAATCTAAAAATCTCATATTTTCAAAGATAAGAATTTCAGAGTATTTTCTCATATATTTTTTCTTTTTGAGACCACAGGTGATTCGCGAACAATCCGTTACGGATTCTCCGCCATTCGCGCGCGGATGAAATAGGAATCGTATACGGACCGTACGCGAATCCGTAACGGATCCGTTTCCGACTCATTCTTTGAAAACCCCCGCCGCTCCCTTTTTCAGTTTCTCTTAATATTTGCTGAGTTTTCATGATAGTTGTAGACTTAGTATTCGGAACTTTATTAAGAAAACATATAAGAAACAACAATCAAACGTACAAGAAAGTTCGAGAAACTATGAAAATCCTTTTTTTGTTGAACGACCAACCGGAACCAGAGCAATCTGAAAAAAAAAATTGGGAAATTTTCCGAAAATGCAGCATACTGTTTACCTATTAGTTATATTTTTTGTTTTCCGGGTTTTGAAAATTGTCTCATTTCCCACGTTTTAGTCGGTAGATGTTTAGTAGATGTCCATCGCTGAAAATTTAAAAAGTCACTATTTCGAAAACTAATGTGGTTTGCACTTACCTTAAGCTAGCAACTTGCTTTCTGCCAAAGTGAGCATCAAAACAATATTTTTTTTCCTTTTGCTCACGGAGAGGTTAAGTGATACCTATAACAAACCCTATGTTTCGAAGAATTACCTTTGTGTTACAAACCTTTTTTCATCGTAGAATCGCCTTTCGAAAATTTTGATAGACAGAAATCGGCACAATTGCCGAGAAAAGTTGGAAAAAACGGCAAAAATAGATTAAAAATACAAAAAAAAGATGCAAAAATATGATGGAAGAGTTAAGAGAAAGCTAGTCCCTCACAACTCGGCCATCCGGAACGGATCCGTTCGCGAATGGGCATGGGAGCCATCTCTCGACCTCCAGCTGCATCCGTATCCGGTCCGTTCGCGAACTCCGTATCCTGGCCGATTGCGAATGTTGAAAAAACGAATCCGTTCGCGAACTCAGATTCGCGAAACTGCCCGTAACGGACCCGTTACGGATAGAAAACCTAGTGGACACCGAAACGGATCCGTTCGCATTTTACCTGTAACAATGTTATCTTTGGTTCTGACAAAAAATTGTTCCTGAGATTTTCAGAATTTCGAAACTATATAGTTGTAAAGGTTCAAATAGAAACAATAGATTTTCAACATATTAGGTGATGCATAATGGTCCCCAAAATCTTTTTTTAATGCCGCGTTCAAAGTTGATTTCCAAAAGTAATTTCCTGGAAAAACGCTGTCAAAAGCTTCGATTGTTTTCCAGATTTATAGCAATAGTAAATTACTGTATCACTCGTTTTGACTGTGTTCTTCCTGTTGATTCATGTCGATTTACGGCGGGTCTTGAAGCGGAGGCCTCTGGAAAACAATGCCAGCTTTGGACAGCGTTTTTCCAGTAAATGACTCCTGGAAATCAACTTTGAACGCGCATAAAAAGAGTAATGACATTTTCATTTGCAAAGATGTAATGGTGCACATGCAAAGAAATGAATGTAGGGCGTTTCTAGTTTGAGCGCAAACTTTTTATTTTCCCTCCGCCTAGTGATCTGTCTAGATATGATGTCTTTGCGTGCATGTTGGGTACAAAAATTTCCGTGTGATCAGTGTTTCATAAAAACATATTAGTTTGAGAAATGAAAAAAATATTGTGAGCTTACAAGCAAGGAAACATTTGAATTCATAAAAATTCAAAAGTACTAATGTTTTAGGTTTTGGTGCTGTAATTTTTCTGAGATCTAAATAACAGAATTTAAAGTTATTTCGAAACTACCTTACTTCAACATTTCTGATCATATAATGGTCCAAATCTCATTTGTATAACAAAGATAAATATATTTGTAATTTGAGCACAAATATTATCTTGTCCATATTTTTATTCTGTGATCTGTCTGGGGAAAAATCGTGGTTTAAGCACGGCGAGCCCAATTTTTTCGTTTGATCAGTTTTGCATCTAACAAGAATACATGAGTGTAGTAGGAAAGATAAGAATTCAAGCAGACATGAGAAATCCGGTTAAATGAGGGACTAAAAATAAAAAATTGAACAAAACATTATAACAACAATCAAAAACTTTTTTTCTTGAAGGTTTCTTAAAATCTGAGGAATTATAATGTCAAAACTTTCCTGTTTCAACACTTCAAACAAAATGTTGAGTTTTATTTTTGCAATTCTTATTTTTTCAGGGTTTCAAGAATGTGAAAATTCTAGTCTCAAAAGTTGAAAATGTTAAAGTCTCCAGAGTTCAAACTGTTGTCTTCCAAATTAAACAATTTCGGAACACCAAAATCACTTGGGTCCTAAGAAACGGGTCAGAAAAGGCGCCCCAGCAAACAAATGTAATAATTTTAAAGTGGACGCGGGTTTGATCTAGATCGTGATCTATTTCTTTAAAATCAACGGGTTGCAACGCGCGCTTTTTCGCTCGTCGTTTAAAACTTTGATCCTCAGCCAACGAAGTTTGACAGCGAATTTAGAATTTTCGAAAAATTTACTGGAGATGGATTTCTGACTCGCTTTCTAGGACCCAAGTGCACAATATTACAGTTCTATTTATTAAAATTTTCGAATTCGCCAACAAAAAAAAAACACTATAGTGTTTAACGAAAATGAATATTAGAACATTTGTTGTTTCTGACTTTTCTCGGTACCTCCGTATTGCGAAATTTTCTCTAGAACAAACCAAATTACACTCTCAAGATTCTAAATTTCTGTAGTCTTTCGATAACATCAGCATTTTGCTCACTTATCTGAAACTGAATGAAAATAACCTTGAGGGAAGATAACAATTCAAATATCAATTGCGTTTTGAAATACACAGTTTCGCTACATGAATAACCCCATAAAACAAGAAAATGTGTTTTTTTTGTGAAAATATAAAAATTCGATAGATTCTCAAAAAAATTCGAAAAAAACTTGCATTCCTTGAAAAAATGAAACAATTGTTTTTAGCTACTTTTCATCGTATACATTCACCCGAGAACAAACTGGTAGAGCACACTAGAACGAGGCTGGTTAGAAATCAAGAAGACAGGTGGAAACATGGCTGATAAACAATGAGAAACCGTATTAGATCAAAATAGATAAACCTTCTTTCCATGGAACGCCCAACTCACACAAGAATGATTAAGAAGAAAAAATTTGAGAACAGTCGTATAAAAAATATGAGGAAAACTTCAGATTTTGCACATGAAGCATTTTTTAAAGGTCCCAAACTCTAAATCAAACTATCAAAGGGGATCCAACCAATTTTATTAATGCATTGTAATGTGAAAATATTTATTTCGCTGAAATATTGAAAACGAAAATCAAAAAAAAAATCATCATTCTTATAATAAATAAATGAAGTTGCGTCTCTTTGTCTGTGGCTCTGTCCGCAAATTTTGAAAAGCTGGAAAATAAAATATAGATTCACGTGACCTTTAAAAAGGAGTGAGTCGCGAAGCGACGAACAGTAAAAGAAAAAGGTTAATTCCAGCTGTTTGAAGCGCAGGAGGCGCGGCATACAGGCTGGTTGTCTTTTAAAAATGCAGTTTAAAATATGACCATTGAAAAAGTTTGCAAAGAGTTGGTCAAAGTCATCCTTTGACAGTATTTTTGCTTGATCAAAGAATAAATAAATTTAGAATAAGTTGAAGATAAATTGTATTAGCAACTTTTTTTCAAGGTTCTTTTTTATGAAACAAGTCGATCGGAACAAAATAATCAAAAAAAAGAGCTTCGCCAGTTTAAAACCACTTATCTCGTTTTGTTGGATTTATACAAGAAAGATGTTAACTACAAAACCAAAAATATCTTTTCGTTTACACTGCAAGTTTCAGACATATTTGAAAATGCTGGACAATTTTTTCAGGAATTCAAAGTTTATTTTCTACCACTGAAGAAGTCAACATGTTATACGTTGCGCTGTACGTTTTTCACAATGTGTCAGACGTGGGTTTCCATTTCCTTTTCATATTAAATGTCTTACAACAATTAAAGTCTGTAAATATGTTTATTTTCACTCTGTTGAATAAAAATTTTTTCTCAAAAACTTTATTTCTATTTATTCGACCAGATGCATGTTTGGAACTACAATTCTCAAAAAAGTACCTCCATTTTTAATTAATTTTTTGATCTCACATAGAACCCCTAACATCAAACTCAAACAGCAAGACCCGACCAAATCATCGGTTCTCTCATTTCCCGGAACGGGACCTTAGACTTGTTTTTTTTTTCTGACAGAGGAAGTGGTGCAACACCACCAGTCACCTCTTTCTTTTCACCGGGAGCCTCTTTTTTTTGTAACATCAGTGCCAAGCGAACAAACAACTATTTCAGAATGTGATCATACGAAAAAGTGGTTTTGATCACACGCATTTTTCCTCTGAATTGGGTCATTTTCAGCAGAACCTATCAAATGTTGATGTTACGAACTTTTTTCAATGCTTTTAGTTAGTTAACTCTCTAACGCATTCATTTATTCACACACTAACGCCGGACCTATTCTTCTCGAAGGCTACTTATATTTTTTGTCGTAGATCACACAACTAGAGACACCGTTCTTATTATTCCAAATTTGATCACACGGCTTTTTTGATCAAACGGATTTATTGCTAAACGAACGTGTTTTTCCTTGTTTTCAGTACTTGTCATGCCTCCATTTCCCGGTTTTGTGTATATAGTCTTATCGAAGCGGCTTTCTTGTAGTGAATTTTTTCGAGATTCATTTTTGTCGTCTGTTCATCCTCTAAGCATTCTTCTTCTTTTTTTCAATGCGAAAAAATTTGAAAACAAGTTTTTGATTAACTTTATTGTTAGTCATGAACGTCTACGCACCAACCAGTCACACAAACATCGGGCCCAAACTCATCACTTTCTTATTACTCAACATCAGATATCAGACCCACCTATTCTCATTAAATCTCACGCTTTGTTTGTTAATTCTTGAATAGATTTTTTTTGGATTTCGTAGAAAAAAAAAATTTCATAAGTTTGGACAGTATTTCATTTCAATATTCAGCTTAAAATTTCGTTTTTCTTCATTTTTCGAACTCATTCTCTTTTTTTTTTTTCAGAAAATGGGTTTTGAAAACGTGTCGGATTTAGCAAGAAACATCATTTTGCAATATTGTGACTTAAAAACCATGTGAGTTAATTTTTAAAATATCGAGGTTGTTGAATTTCGGAATACCGTAAGTTTTTTCATAGTATGTTGACAAAAATCCGGGTTCCCCGCAGATAATTGTCAACCTGAAAGCAGAGTAACTCAGGGTCTACCGATTTTCCCCGCAAAATCGCCCTGAATTACTTGCTTTGATTATTCATTCACTATTTTCCCTTATTTTCGATATTATTCTGTGAAATTATTCTTTCTCGCATTCATTCAATGCGAATATTCATATTTGAATTACCACTCCTTTTACCCTTTTAAAGGCGCACCCGCGTGGCGACCCGCGACGCCAGCCGACAGGCGCCGCGCACTCTCCGCGCGCGCAGTCATCTTTTGCGTCCGGGCACCGCTTTGCCGCCGGTAGCACCAAGGACTTTTTAGGCAATTTTACTTCCAGATTTTCCCCCCTTTTGTACGTTTGGCTATCAGAGGTTTGACCAGCTCCAGTTTCGTGGGTCCGCAAGGTTTCCTGGCGGCTCCGCCGTCAGGTTTTAGCCCTACACCATTATTCCTCCCTTTTTCTGTTCTTGCTGGTATTTCCCCTTTGATTGTCTTTATCGTTTGTCTTGGCCCCATCTTTTTCTCTCTAATAAATGGGTCAATGATACTTTGTGTACTGTTTTGTATTTGCACCGCTTATCTCATACACACTTTCAGGTTTTTAGGGCGCGCTACAGGCGCGCGAGCACTCTCGGGTTAGGACATAGGATCGGTCTCGACTGACTGAGGATCCGCTGTCAACATGGTGCATCGACGGACGGTCCCGTGAATGTTGGAGTTCCAAAAAATTTGATTTTCTAAAAAATGGGCCTAAAATCACGAACCCAGTCGAATCCGAGAGCTCTTTGCGTGTCTGCGCTTGCCCCACTTCCCTGTTGTGTTGAGACCCTATTTTATCGATTTCCTCTTCTCTCTCCGCTTCTTTCTTGCTGATAATAAATTACAGACCCAATTTTTAACCGTAGAAAGTCTTAAAATCCGATCGATCGATGAATGAAGCCGAAAAGTTCCAAAAATCTCGAGAAGTGTGCTGAAAAGTCATCTGAAGCCACTATTCATGTATTCTCCCTATTACAAAGGACTATTCCTTGCTTTTCATCAGGATTTCCAGTCAAAATCGTCAAAAATCGCTGAAAATCGATCAAAAAATTCAATTTCGAAACATTTCGAAACAATCGAGATACTAGAGAGTGTGCGAAACCGAGAGACGTCACAGAGGATGAGTGAGTGTGTAAAGGTGAGAGACAGCTAGAGAAATCCCTCGTTTGACAATGATTTTTGTCTAAAATTCTATGATTTTCTACTGAAATTCTATAACAAATATTCCGATCAGGTCCACATCGTGGTCTGTAAATATTCGAGATAACAAAAAAACGTCAGAATTCAGCCAAATAGTGGTGAGAATTCGTTTTGACACTGTCGAAACACTAAAAGGCTATACTTATAAGCCTGACGATGAATTTCTACGGAAATTCGATAAAAATCCGAATAAAATCTCGCCAAAAACATTGGAATAATTGATCGGGTCCACACCGTGGTCTGAAAATAGCGAGAAGACGTATATTCGTCAGAATTCAGCCAGATTCTGGTCAGAATTCGTTTCGACATCGTTGAAACAGTAAAAAGGCCATAATTATGAGCCGGAGGAGAGCAGAGGTGTCGATAAAACCCTAAAATCTGCAAAGTCATACTATATGTGTGTTTCTCCTTGGATTTCTGTTGATTTTTATCACGAAAATCCGTCCAAATCGATCAAAAATAATCACTGAACCCCGTCAAGACGAATTTGCCTCCGAAAACGGTGCGCGCTGAGAAATGCGAATTGGGTGTAAACACTGCGATGCGCAGTTGCGGACGGCGAGAGAGTGTACTCTCTCATTCAGAAATTTTTTTCCAATTTCACCCAATTCGACCGATTTCGCTGGAAATTTGGACGAGTCGATCGACAAAAAATTAATTCAAGTAAGTCTTCATCAATTTGTGATAAAATTTGACTGAAAATCCCAAGAAAATTTGACTATTTAGTTCGAAAAAGGCCCAAATGGCCTAAAAATGGTCGTTTGGCCTAAAAATTTCCAAAATTCGAAGTTTTCATGGCATTTCACCAGCTGAGTGAACGCGTGGCCAAGTATTATACTTGAAAAGCTCAGTTTCTAGTCCCAAAATGCTCGAAGACCAAGAATTTGACCCAAAAACGGAGTCGCCGGAAATTTTGCACTACGAAAATTTTCCAAAAACATCTTCCACTCCAAAAAATCGTTTTCTTTCGCTCAGAATTGAATTTTTATACTCAATGCTGGGGGCTAAGGTAGTTGGGGGGGGCCACTTGTTTTTCGTTTTTTGAGGCTAATTTAGTGTCTCTGGGGTAGAAAAGAGCGGCGAAGAAGCCTAAGCCTATTTTTTAGACAAATTCCCATCTAAAAACACAAAAAAAAATCTTCTAAAACATTTTTTTTACCGGTTTTTCGTATTTTTTACCGATTTTTCGCTCATTTCTCGGAAGTTTTTGTTTTCTGGGATCCACGTTTGTTCAAAATTCCTTTTTAAAGTCTGAAAATGGAATTTTAAAATCATTCTTCGTCCTCGAGAACTACAAAATTTCTTGCTCACTCTAAATTTAGATTACTGTAGCTCGAAAATGCTAGCTGTTATTAGCTGTTTTTGCTGTTATTCGCTGTTATTAGCTAGTATTCTAATATTCGCTATGACTGCCGTTGCGGCTATATTAGACTTAAAGTCTTTTAACCTAATCAAAACCTGGCCGGAGCTAGCCAACAAAACCGACGACGAATTCGATGAGTATCTCGCTGAAAGAGGCTTGCTCTGGAGAGAAAATCCATGTCCGTCTTGTCACGAGTCGAGAAAAATCTCTAAGCAAAAGAATGCCTCTGGTTAGTAGATTAAAAGTATTTATTTCATGCGAATTAGTTGTTTATAGGAGCGTTTTGCAAGCAGAAATTTGAGTGTTACAAACGAGCATGTCGAAATTCACGTTTCAACTGCAAAACTGGATATTTAAGGGAACTTTCTTTGAGGGATTACGTGGAAGCCGTAAAAAGATTTTTCTGTGTAGCTTCCTCTATTTGAATGGAAAGATGGTGATGAAAGAGTTGGCAGAAACTTTGGAAACTGAGGAAAAGACAGTAATTCAGTGGTGCCAATGGTTCAGGGATATCATGGCGGAGAGTTTATATCAGCCCGCAATTATGATCGGAGGTGTTGGAGAGACGGTTCAGATCGATGAAACAAACATTGTCAAGAGAAAGTATAATGTGGGAAGGATCGTTCGTAATGGATGGTTGATAGGCGGTATCCAGAATAACACTCGTGCCGTTTTTATCGAAATCGTCGATAANAGAGATCAAGCAACGTGTGAAAGAATCATTCAACCATATGTTGCTCCAGGCACAACAGTCATCACTGACTGTTGGCGAGGATCAACGGACTCGCGGCGCTAGGTTATGATCATAAAACAGTGAACCATTCTCAAAATTTTGTGGACCCTGCCACTGGTCTCCATACGCAGAGAGTTGAGTCGCTTTGGAGCCATTTGAAGCGTAGAATCAAGCCAAAGTGCGGCCTTAAAGGAGATTTATGGGATGATCACTGGTTTGAAGCTTTATGGCACTTCAAGCACCACGAAGAGGCGAAGCTCTACGAGCTTTGGGCTGAGATCGCTAGAAGATATCCACTCACTTAAAATTCTTCGATGGTTCCGAAAATTGTTGTTGTTTTTAATGTCATTAATCAATAAATGTTAAGAAAAAGTTTTTTTTGAATTTGG